CATAGATCCCTTATCGGATCCCTTTAAAGGAACCCTATTCTAACCCCCTAAGCCCTAAACGCTATACCCCAAACCCTAAACCCCTAAACCCCTAAACCCTAAACCCTAAACCCCTAAACACCTAAACCCCTAAACCCTAAACCCTAAACCCCTTGGACGTGACCTGGAGCAGCTGATCTTCGACACCCACCGAGGGAGGGGTTGTTTGCAGCAGCGCGGCGGCAATGGAGCGCGCCTCGCGGGTGCCTCGGTAAAGTTTAGGGTTTGAGGCTTTAAGGCTTAGGGGATTTCTCTAAGGTTTTAGAAGCTTCTGTCGATTTGATTTCAATTTTGGGCACAGGGCTGAGAGACAAGTCTTCCGAAAGTAGGGGGATGGCAGCCTTTCGCTAGCTATCCCAGCAAAAATTCGTTGCGAGCAGGGACTGCCTCCTCGCAAGCTTACGGCAACTCGAGAGTATGGCATGCTCTGGGGTTAATGCTGCACTTCGGGCAATTTGCCTTCGGAGGTTTGGAGTGTGAGTCACATCCAGCGTAACTGTTGGGAGCTCCCGTGCCTGGGAATCTCCTAAAAAACTAGCCGCGATTGTGCGAACTAGAAACTCGCGCACACCAACTGAGCTAGTTTGCGACGTCTCGTGTGCATGGAAGATGCCTCGAACAGGGATATGACTGCGTGTGCAAAGCATGGGGCATTAACGAAAAATTCCGGAACTCACAGGCAGAGATACCATGCTCATTCGTCTCACCACACTGAGCGCGCTCAGCTACACAACAGGACACATCATCAGAAGCACTAAGACTAAGTCCCTATGTGATCATGGCAAACACCTGCGAAAAGTAAACAGGCGGCAGTAGGAGAAAAAAATTCCCCAGCCCCTATAAGTGGCCTGGCCTTGCTCACCACGTGCCTCCGGCGCCGGAACCTGACAAAGGGCACGCAAGAAATGAGCAAACCCCTAAACTCCTTAACCTTAGAACCTCCAACCCCGAATTCTCTGCAGTATCCGTACCAGGGGCCAGATGATTGCAGGAAAGCTAAAAGGCGGCCGAATCTAAAGCCTCAGAGTCAGAACCTCAGAGTCAGAACCTGTAGGGATCCAACGACATCATACTTTGATTTGCTTTCAAGCTACACGGCCAGTATGACGAATGAAAAGGGTTCTGAACCGGCATCTCATGCCACTGACCAGGCGAAACTCGCATGCGACGAAGACAGCTCTTGACATAGAACACTTAACCAGAACCCTAAAGCATTAACCCTAAACCCTAAACCCTTAAACTGCCAGACCCTATGCCCCAAACCCCAATACCTTGAACCCTAAACCTCTAGGATCCTGGCACCTTGCCTGCTTCATCCCAGGCAGCACAAGCGTTCTGGCCGCCGCAAGCTCGGCGGTGCTTACCTGACGGCTCATGGGACTTAGGGGACTTACGATGTCAAAGGTTTAGGGTTTAGGGTTTAGGGTTTAGGGTTTAGGGTTTAGGGTTTAGGGTTTCGGGATCTGGGTCGAATGCGAGGGCTCTCTCCCAGAAACGTTCAAGCGCCCTAAACTCGGGGAAGCTGTAGTCTACATACGTTAATTCACGACTCCAGGCCCGTGCCGAGGCAGGCAGCAAAAACAACATAAAAGCTGATCTCCGTTTTGGATGCAACGCTCTCATGCGAGAGTTTGTCATGTGATTAGTTTCTGGCACAAGCATGCCTGTCATGGTGATCCAGACGAAACCACCCTTGGCCCGAAAGTCTCACTGGAGTAGTCTCAAGATTGAGCTGCTGGCCTCCTTTGACATAAAGCACTACATGTATGTTACACGAGGCAGCTCCAGGTAGCAAGAATTACTATTCATATAAGTTGAGACTGGGTTGTCAAAAGATAAGTTCAAGTGCTTTTTGGGTTGCCTTGTGACTATGTGCACTACTCACCCGCCTCCTCAAAGGGGCGTGTGCTGGCCACGGGCGGGCCTAGCAGGAACTTGGCAGGTAGAGGGCAGGCATAATATAATATAGGGGCCTCGACAATTAGAATAGGGTTTTGGGGTATATTATACTATAACTACTATAAGGAACCCCCAAAATAGTGTAGGTAATTATTCAGGCCCCTATATTAGGGTTGGGATCCAGGATCTGGCTCTAGCAGGGTAGGTTTCATTGGGTCCGTACGACGGGGTCAACGTGTTGGCTGAAATACTTCTTCTGTGGACTTGAGCAATCTAACTGAATTAGATGCTCGGATCGCGATTCCGTGAAAGGCACGGCAAATCAGAGCAACCCTGTGACGGCATCGCGCGTCAGGACGTCGTTTGCATGAATACACACATCGCTGTATCCTCTGATGTCATCTGACACACAGCCATTGCAGTTTAGGGAGATTGGGTTGAGCGGGAACTTTGTCTGTCAGAATTGCCGGAAAACTTCTATGGGTATGGACTCCTCCCACCCACCTCAAGATGATGGGGTCTGCGGCCATACCGTGACAAAACTTTCGCACTGAATGCACAAGTTCACAAGAGTGGCTCTTTGCCCAATGTCTGGACGTCTTTCTGGATGGTAAGCATGGCAACACATAGCACGACTGGGTTCAACGCCTATGTTCTACCCACTCTGATACAAGCAAGCACCAGAAAGGCACGAACCCTGCCGAAAAGTCAACATCTAACATGGCCCCCGAAGCCCTCAATGCCTGTGGCTTCCGGCTTCACTGGAGGCGAAACCTTCCATCGACAAGGTTTTTGCTGTTCGGACGTGTAGTTGAGCGTTTTACGCTTGGGGTCTTCGGGTCTACTGGTTCGATGGGTTTCGGGTTTCAGGGTTAGGGTGTAGGGTTGAAGGTTTTTGGGTTGGTTTGGGGATGCGGGCTTGAGGTTAAGTTACTGGTGATGTTTCCCAAAAACCCGTGCAAAAGCATCTCCTTTAAACCCCAGTTCCCGCGCCTCACGCGAACCCGAAACCCTGCACCCTACACCCTCATCCCTAGACTCCCTAGACCCTAAACTCCCGAATCCCTAAACTCTACACCCCAACCCCTAAACCCTAAACTCCCTTATCCCTAAACTCTACAGCCCAATTCCTGACCCCTAAACCCTAAACTCCCCAAAACATATTGCGCACCTGTCAACCCAAAAGTTAGCTCTCGCCCAAACCTCAAAACCATCCTCGCTCGCTGGGGCTGTGATAGGCTGTCGGGGCCTGAATGATTAGAATAGGGTATTGGAGGTTTATTATACCAGAACCATTGGGGACTAGACATTATACCATACATAAGGGATCAACATGAACACTTATTCTGATCCCTATATTTGATAACTCGTCTGTTGCAGTCGTTTCGCAAAGTTGTAGAGCAGAACAACGCTTCTCATTCCCAGAGCAGCCTCCTCTTGAGTGCCCTGCAGCAGACGTAGCAGGTCCTTGGTCACGGCTGTGGTTAAACGTCTGGATAGATAGAGAGTTTAGGGTTTTTAGGGTTTCGATCTTACACATCCACATACTAGTGGCGTAGTCAGTGTGCAAGATCATGCTTCTCACCGTCCAGAGCCCCGTCGCCTGTCTTCCAGTGTAGATCTGTAGCAGTTCATATCGGGAACCGACATCGGCGTTTTGCGCCGATGCACTCGCACGAGCATTGCACAGCAGGTATGCCCGGAGTTGCCACTGTTAGTTCGGACATGGTTACCTGTGTGCGGTAATCAGGATGGGCCCATCCGCTCAACGCAAATAGTCAAGCATGTTCCGTTACGTTTAAGGTTAGTGGCGGCAGCGAACTCGGTCCTTGCATAGTCATTTGTCGTCCGGGTTTGCTTGCCGATGATGATGCTGCTGGTGATGATGCTGTTGTTGATGATGATGATGAGGAGGAGGAGGAGGAGGACGACGACGATATTGATACGATTACGGCTGCTACTACTATGACGACGACGACCACGAACACGACCATGACCACGACCACCACCACCACCATCACCATCACCACCATGCTAGAACGAGCTCTCCATGCATATCCATCGCCAGCCACGTGACCATTTGTCCCGTGTCAGAGATGACCCCCTGCTCCACAGGCGCGGCTCCACCCCCTGCGGCGGAAATGGGCTGCACAGCAACGTTCCGCTCTACAGTGTGATGTAGGGGCCTTAATAATTAGAATAGGGTTTCGGGGTCTATTATACTATAATTAGTATAAGGAACCCCCAAAACCCTCTTCTAATTATTCAAGCCCCTATATTGCTCAGTGTGTGGATGTTGCAGGGGGATTGTTGTGCCTGTTGAGGGGTTGGGTTCAAGAGACGATTGTCAAGACTCGCCCTTCGTGGAGGCCTTACCTAGGCCACATTGATCTTCACCAAGCCTGTCATGCTGCCGAAATAAGGCACAAGCTGAAAGCTATATACTTTGGGACTGCACTTTCAGTCTGCCTGTCGTTGGCCGGATGGGAGGCAGTTGCACTTGTTCCGCCGGATGCTGTGCGGGCGGTTGCAGGGGTGGCGGCATTGGCGGATCTTGCGACTCCATCATCTCCTGCCACATGGGCTTGGGGCCCTGGGGAAGCTGTCGAGGCATCTCCATCTCGGGAGGTTCCACTCGAATCTGTATCTCCTCCCAGGCAGGTCTCGGCACTTCGACCTCCACCTTTGGAGGCTCCGAAGGTTCCGGCTGCGGCTCTGCTGGCTCTGGTGGTTGCGGTTGCGGCTCATGGCCTGCTGGCTCCGGGTTGCCCGGGGCCGCTGGCGCTGGAGGCGGTGAAGGGCTGGCTGGCAGGAGTTGCTCAACTGCCGGGGGGGCAGGGGTCGGCTCTTGGGGTGGAGGTTCATCCTTGATGGGAGGCCTCAGCGTTGCAACGATCGTGGCGCATCATGGATTTGATCTGGAGTTGGGCGCAACGAGGCAAAACATCAGAAGTCCAGCTGCTAAGCAGGCTATCTGAAAGGGGCTGTGAAGGATCTAGAGGAGCTGTTACTCAAACAACATGTCAAGCTGAAGCTCGACAATCGGAACGCTGTAGCAAGCAATAGGACGCACTTTGTCAGGCCAGCGTAGAAGCACGTACCAGCAGCAAAAGACTGCTGCAAGACGATAGCCTGCTCTCAAAAAGTAGCTTCTCGAGTCAAATGCATGTTATGCCAAGCTGCAGAGGCGGAAGGTGCCAAGGAAGATCGTTTGGCGCCTCCTCCAATCCTTGTACAAGCTGCTCTCAAGTGAAGAAAACAGTCGGACGAGTGCCATGAGCTTCCAGCAGGGCCTGCCTTCTTAGAGGACTGGGAATGTCTGCCTCGAACTTACCGCAATCAAGCCTGGCCAGCTTCAGGGCGAAACATTCCGATGTGATGAAGGCCGTTACACAGCTTACCCCGCACTTCAGAAAGCTTGTGAATATATATATATATATATTTCTGCTTGTCCGTAGCTCTCTTCTGAGTGCATAAGGCAAGGAAGACCCTGCAACTTACATCGTCCCTACTAAACTCTTGAATCTGCTCCGGCCCATTTGTTACCCCAAACTTTAGATTTCCGAAAGGAGCTCCAAATCCCGAACCCTATGCTGCAGTAATGTAGGGGCCTTAATAATTAAAATAGGGTTTGGGGGTATATTATACCATAACTAGTGTGGGTAAATATTAAACCCCCCCCCCCTTCATTATCTGTTTTTGGGCCGTAAGCAGTCGCGCCACGTGAAACAAAACGTGCCTGTCTCGTTGAAGAGCTTTCATGTTTGCTGTCAGCATGGTCATTCTTAGGATAGCGTTTGCTGATGGTCGTACTTTATATATATATATATATATGACTTATACACTCAATGTAAATGAATATTTAAGGTGTCGAAGATTAGTCGTTCGGTTCAGCGTCGTTGGGCCGTTCCCTGTTGGAAGGGCTTCTGCAACACTAGGAACAAGCCAGAATCACACAGCCCTCTCAAAGGCCTAAACCCGAAACCCAAGCGTATCCCCAAATCCGCAACTTCAAAACACTGGCTGAAATAGTGCCGGAGTGGCTGGGAGGGCGCTTCTGGCACTCGGTGCCCTGTGGCCGCGAGCTCAAGGATGCGGAGAATGGCGGGGGAGTTTGATGGAGGCGCGGGTGGAGCGTATGAGTCATGATCACGATCAACATCATAAGGGTGTGTGTGTGAACACGGGGATGGGGACGAGTATGGGGATGACGAGGAGGATCCGGGTTAGGAGGAGGCGGAGGAGAGGATGGTGACGAGGTCTTGTTCCCAATTATGGGAAACTGTCTATGCTGCTGCACTGGATTCGGTTCCTGCAGCCCTCTCAGCCTCATCAGAGAATGGCACCGAAAGCTCCAACCCAGACACAATCGCAAGAGTGATGCCAACGGCTGCGATGCAAAACAGGAAACAAAGCTTGGCAATCGCAGCAATTAGCAGACAAAAACGCCAGAGTTGCTAAAAAGTTGCCTCGCTGACAAGCTCCAGGCGCCGCACGCTGCGGCGGAGTGCCAGCACGGCCTTGAGACACAATTAAATGGGGGCTCAGCGCTCTAGCGCATCGGAAAATTCTATATATATATATATATACATATATATATATATATATATGAGAGGCGCGTTAATGAAAGGGAAGTTTCTTCTATAGCTATAGCAGGAAACGGAAGGCGCTAAGGCATAGAATGAGAATTATTCAGGCTTCTATATTACAGGGCTTCAGGTCTGGGCCCTATAGGGCCTGAGACATCAGGATTCAGAGGTTTCCAGTTTAAGCTGCGGTGTTTTAGGGTTTGGGGTTTAAGGCTTAAAATACGGAGTCCTACTCGCACATACAAAATCCTACATAAAACCCTGGATGCCAACCCTATAACATCCTGAATACCCTGAATAACTAAAACCCCTGAGCCCTAGATTGAGCACCCCAAATCTTGCACCCCAAGCCCCAGACCAAAAACAACCATACTATCACACACTAGACAAGACTCTAACATACTTTAAAAAGCTCTAATATACTAGTAACATACTATAAAAGTACGTCAAGATTCTATGATAATCTACGATCGTGCATATAGGGGTTTCCGAAAATAGGGGACCCTAATATAGTACCTTAAGTAGTAGGATCCTTATTATCAGGACCCCAAAAGAAGGTACCCCTAATTTTCGGAAACTCCCAAACCCTAAACCCTAAACCCTAAACCCTAAACCCTAAGTTCGCTTAAGTGAGCTAGGCGTCTCCACGCCGAGGCGGCGCAGTGCATCGAGCATTTCGGCCCCGCGCTCTGCTGGACGTTCCTTGTAGGTTTATATAGGGTTTAGGGGTTTAGGGTTTAGGGGTTTAGGGTTTATAGGGCTTTGGGGTATATCCGGCTCGGCAATTAGGGTGTTGGGTAATTTTGGATTTTTGCCTTTGAGGTTGGGAGCCTTGGAGTTTGTTTGCGGCGATTAGCTTGGGTCCAGGGTTTAGGGTTTAGGGTTTAGGGTTTAGGGTTTGGGTCCAGGGCTTTGGATATTGCTCGTTTCGAAACATGGAAACAGGGAAGGCGCGAATACAAGCCGAGCATATATACACATACATACAGCGGGTGCACTCACATATACAGACAAATCACGATGATGAAATTGGACATTGAAGCTCTGTGTGCTTTCAAGAGATCCACGTTTAGGGTGGCTTGGGTGTTCCGGGAATCGAGGGGCTTGCCTTCGCTGGATTGCTTCGGGCGCTTCAGTCAGCGAGATGGCGGGTTCAGAAAATGAGAGACGCTACAGGAAAGCTCTCTGTCTATCTATCTTTCCTTCTATCTATCTCTCTCTATTCTTATCTAATCGAATCTAATCTAATCTAACTAACTAACTACCTATTGATCTATCTATCTATCTATCTATCTATCTATCTATCTGTCGACCTATCTATCTTATCTATCTATCTATCTAACTAACTNNCTAACTAACTAACTAACTAACTGAGTAACTAACTACCTGTCTATATACTTATAGATACCTATGTTACTTCTTTCTATCTCCTATCTATCCTATCTGTCGTGTCGGTCCTATCTATCTATCTATATATCTATCTATCTATCTATCTGTCTATCTATCTATCTATCTATCTATCTATCTGTCTATCCATCATTATCTGTCTATCCATCATTTTCTGTCTATCCATCTATCTTTCTTTCTTTCTATCTATCTGTCTATCCTTCTATCTGTCTATCTATCTAGCTAACTATCTATCTATGTATATATCTACATACATACACATTCATACCCATATCCACATATATATATACACACATACATACATACATATATACATATATCACCACACACACACACTGAAGATGTAATGAGGCTTCTCTGCATACCTACGTCGACAACAACACGCCTAGTACGCTCGTGCAGACACCTTAACAACCCCTGGACCTCTGCACGACTCCCCCAGCCCTAACCGTCGATATCCGGTGCTGGACTTGGAAAGAGCCACTACTGGGAGGATCAAGGGACGTAGTAGTAAGTATGCTTATAGGTGCATTCCTTGGTGTAGATATAAGGAATTATACGTACAGTTACCTCATTTATAACCCTAGTTACTCAGTCTCACGATCCTGTTAAGTAGACCCTAAACCTTAGAACTCCCCTTGTGCCAATCTGCGGCCGAGAGTCAGTCCAGATGAGGATGTGGTGGCCTTGAGCCTCCCGATGACATAAACACCATAAAGCCTAAGCCTGTAACATGGGCTCCACAAATAGAACAGGATTTTTTCGGGGTATATTGTCGTTGTCGTATTATAATAGTACGGAACCTTAACCCGCCCTACTTAGCCTTTAAGATGTCCTTAGTAATTGGAATAGGGTTTTGGGATATTGTACGGTAAGTACAAGAGAAAACTTTAAAAACAGTCAGGATTCTAGATTATCCAGGACCCCTAAACCCTAAACCCCTAAACCCATAAACCCCTAAACCCCCAAACCCCTACACCCCTAAACCCCTAAACCGCTAAACCCCTAAACCCCAAACCCCCAATCCCTAAACCCTAAACCCCTAAACCCCTAAACCCTAAACCCTAAACCCGTCGTCGGCTCAAAACCCCAAGCTCTGTCAGGAGCAGTGCAGTTCATGGCGAACTGAAGCTGCAAACGGACTTGGGGTTTAGGGTTTAGGGTTTATCTGTTGGGTTTATAGGGCTTATAGGGTTTAGGGTTTATCTGTTGGGTTTAGGGCTTATAGGATTTAGGGTTTTATCTGTTGGGCTTATTAGGGCTTAGAGGGTTAAGGGTTTAGGGTTTATCTATAGGGCTTAGGGCTTATAGGGTTGAGGGTCTAGGGTAGGGTTCATTCCTATCGCTGCGAGGGCAGCCAATCACCCTGGGTGGCAATCTCAAGCACAACAATCTCCAGCCGAAAACATGGACATCAAACATTGAATACCATAGAAACACCTGGCTGTGATCGAAGGAAGACGATATACCAATATTGACACCATCGCCTACTGAAAATACAGACACGACTGACTCTGACGAAGATTTTTCTGAAGACCAGGCAACCTCAACCTTAAACCTCCTGAACACCTAAACCCCTAAACCCTAAACCTCAAGACCTGAGGGCTAAAGAGCAAAACCGCAATCCGAAAACCCTAAACCCTCAACCCTAAACCCTAAACCCTAAACCCCTAAACCCTAAACCCTAAACCGCAAACCCTAAAACGCAGGGAGCCTTCAGTCGCCTCAGGAGTTTCACATTCCTTTCCTTGAGACGAGGGGGTTGCGGGGGTTTAGGACTATTTGGAGGTGTAGGGTTTAGGGTTTAGGGTTGCGGGTTTAGGACTACTTGGAGGTGTAGGGTTTAGGGTTTAGGGTTTAGGGTTGCGGGTTTAGGACTACTTGGAGGTGTATGGGTAGTTAATTACAAGTGAAGTCAGAAGTCGGGCAAAACTAATTCTAGCCCATATTAGGGGACGTATAGCTCCACTTATAGCTACCCATGATCCTCCAAGTAGGATGCAAGCCCCCCGCATGCTACTTCAACGGACAGGGAGAAATCTTATAGGGTCAAATGAACCCCACCCTGCGACAAAAAAACACAGAAAACAACAAACTGGTACAGGGCTCGCGGGGTGTATAGGTTTGACGCACAAGCTTTAAGGCTGAGGTCTTGTAGCTTGGTGACCCCAGTTCTGAGATGCAGTAAGCTACACTCGCATCCGCGATCGCGCAATGATAGCTATGAAAAGCGTGCTGCCTCTCCCGAGGTTCATTTATGGCATAGGGCTTAGCACAGCCTTACGCTAGGCCCAGTCGGTGCCGTGCCGCTTCACGATCCCCTTGTCTTGATCGAACCCGAGTCAACGGCTAAGCCATAGACCTGACTAAACTTATAGCTAACTATCTAGCTCCTATGCCTGACAATCTTAAGCCTTCCTGGGGCCCGAAATCCCCAACTCTAAAACCAAGACCCAAACCATCAGACGGCGCTGCTTATTCCCGAAACTATAAGCCCTGAAACTAATCCATCCTATGATATTTACCTGTACTAGTTTGGGGGTTCCTTATTCTACTTATAGTATAGTAACCCCCAAACCCTATTCTAATTATTAAGGCCCCTGCAGTAATGCCTCCTCAAGCCCTAGACCTCTGCCTCGAACACTCATGAAGCCTTGTCGCAGCCAAACTCTGAATCATCTAAGCGCTGCGACCCCAAACCCTAAGCCCAAACCCTAAGCAAAAACACCCTGAAGCCCGAACTCCTAAACCCTAAGCCCCAAATCCCGAACCCCAAAACACCCCAGCGAAGCTGCGATAGCCCGGCAACTGCGGAGATTGCCCTCCTCCTGTGGGGCTGTCAGCAGCGTGCCTTGAATTGCGGGCCCAGACAATGCCATTGCTTTAGGGTTGAGAAGGGGTCTTATGTTGAGGGTTAAGGGTTTAGGTTAAGTCTCGCATCTCTTCGGGCTTACAGGGTTTTGTCATCAAGAGTTTTCCTAAGCCACATAAGCCCTAATTTAGGGCATTAACAGGTCAATATTCCTTGAACATGGAAGTTTCGTTCATGTTAAGAGAGGCGTTACAGCAGGGCCCAGGACAGGAGGACTAAGGTGTGGGGCGGTTTAGAGTTCAGATCTTCGGGTTGGGGGTTTAGGGTTTAGGGATGGGAGATTGAGGATTTGGGGCTGGTGTGGGCTCAAGATTTTGAGCCCCCACTTGATGGGCTATGGGCACCTCCAAGCATTGGTATAAGTGTGGTCACCGTCTGTGTGCATAGCTGGAACCACATGCAAGGGAACCACATGCAAGGTAGCCCCATCAGCTACATTCACCCATACCGGGCTCTTGAGAAGGAACTTAGTTCAACATACCATAACAGGGATCTATGTTAAATAATACGGTTTCCTTATCATGGTAGCTTAAAGCAAACCCCGTAACAAGAACGCAGGAACCCTAAACCCTAAACCCTAAAAACAACATCGAACTGCCCCTGTGCCTGACGCCCTGGACTCCAAGTTGGCCGAATAGGGCTAGGGTCTTGGGTTTAAGGCTTTTGGGAGTTTAGGGTCTTGAGCTTAGGGTCTACCGGTATAAGACCTACCTTTTCAGGGATCCTTCTTAGAGTCTCCTCATGTGAGCCTTTAAAAATGTAGGTTCTCCAGGGTCCAAGTGGGGCTTTCCGAAAATAGGGGACCCTCATATAATGCCCTAAATAGTACGATCCTTTTTTTTTGAGGACACCCAAAGAAGGAACCCCTTCTTTTAGGAAACTCCCAAGTAGGGTTCGGGGGTTCAGGGCTTGGGGTTCTCCAAACTCGACGCTCAACTCCACAGCCTGAAGCCCTGACTCTGCCTGGACCCTCAGTCCAACCTTCGGCAAAAGAGACTCACAACCCCTGGTGTGAGGTGTACTTAAAGGATCCTGGGACTTAGTAAGTAGGGTTTAGGGTTTAGGGTTTAGGGTTTACTTAAAGGATCATGGGACTTAGTAAGTAGGGTTTAGGATTTAGGGTTTGCTTAAAGGATCATGGGACTTAGTAAGTAGGGTTCTAATTAGGGTAACTATGCTTATAACCCCAACCAAGGGACTTATAACCTTACTTACTAAGTCCCATGATCCTCCAAGTAGGGTTTAGGGTGTGGGGTTTCGAGTTTAGGGTTAGAGCTTTCGGGTTTAGAGTCTTATACGGCTAGAGTTTGAGGTTTGAGCTTTCGGGTTTATATCTAGCTTATACGGCTTACGGCTTGGAGTTTAAAGTTGGGGAATTGCCCCACTTGGCCATGGATGCCAAGAAGGCGGAGCCGCCAGGTCTTTCGCCAAGTGGCCGTGCAGGTCCTTAGCTTGGCTACATACCGCTGAATAATCCTACGTTCAGGGTTTAGGTCTCAGGAGTGCGGGGGTTCAGGGTTTAGGGCTTAGGGCTTGGAGTTTCGCAGCGACGGATTTTAGATACGTTGATGAGGTTTCTGCCGTTCAAGGAGTTTTAAGAGTGTCTTGAAAAGGTCGAAGCAAGGTTCTAGAAAGGCCGTATCGCGCTTAGCAAGTTAGGGTCTACCCTAATTGGAATTATCCCGGTATGCTAATTAAAGCTTACTTCCAACTGTAACTGATACACTAGTCGCCAGGCCAGGTCATGCGATCTTGCAAGTAGGGAATCCTTCAGGTAGCTCCTGCTGTGAGGCTGCCTAACCAAAGAACCATGGGGCTTTGGGGTTAGGGCTCAGTACAGTAATCTCTATAGTTAACCCTAAACCCTAAACCCTAAAACCTTAACCTAAACCCTAAACCCTGAACCCTAAAAGCCCTAAGCCCTAAACCCTAAACGCCCTAAAAGCCCTAACTCAAGCTGTACAGTGATCGTCACTGTAGGCCCGTCTCTTGCTCCCTGTCGGGGTGGTGGAGCCGACAAAGGCTCAGCACCCGATACCTAAAGTCCTAAATCCCTGGAATCAGTCGGTTCAGGGTTTAGGATTTAGGGTTTGGGGTTGAGGGTTTCTGGAATCAGTACCCACCCATAGGCCCCATAGTAGTTCCTGTTTCGGGTTCATATTTAGAATCCTACCTAGGAACTTTTATGGGGCCTATGGGTACGTTTAAAGCCAAACAACCGAAATCTTATCCTAAAGCCAATGCCCGAATACGGAAGCCGTGCTTCTCTGCTGTTGTTTGCAAGCTTTGGATTCGGGCTCGACGCGTCCCGCTGAGTTGGATGCTTCGATTACAAACAACAGCTCACGATGCTGGTTAGATCGCCTGATCTCTAAACAACCGTAACGTGGGCCTTGAAGACTAGAATAAAATTTTGGGGCCCATTATACCATAACTATCATACGGAACCCCCAAAAAAGTATTGGTAATTGTTTAGGCCCCTACAGTAGAGTCCGGGCTTTCCAGCTCGCAGGTGTAGCGACCAGGCCTGGGGTACTACGGTTAGGGTTTAGGGTTTAGGGTTTAGGGTTTAGGGTTTAGGGTTTAGGGTTTAGGGTTTTAGAGGCAGGGCACTGCATCCACCTAAACCTCGCAGTCTGAAATCGAAACTTCCTTTTCCCAGACCCTAAACCGCGGGGTCCACTAGCCGGGAAACCGGTACTACTAACTTAAAGAGTTTCAAATCATAGCGGACCCTGTTTATGACCCTTACTATTACTACAGGAACTCCTGAGACAGGTCATGTCTGATTGTAAGAAACCCTTATAAGCTGTGCACCGGAGCTCAAAGAGAAAGCGCATCTTGGGTTGGTTGGGCCAGCTGCTGCACCACTCTGCCACCTCCAGAGTACATGGGGTTCATGAGGTACCTTACTACCCCAATAAGTCAGGGAACCAAAAGGTTACACTTTCAGATTACTACTAAATTACCAGAGCCCCAAAACCCTAAACCCTAAATCCATTGGGGAACTAAGGTACATGGCAGTGGAGCCTCGAATCACGACTCTTCTTGTAATCCTGCAAGCCTGGCTGATAGCTAAGATTTCTAGGACGCCTCTAATGTAGGGGCCTTAATAACTAGAACAGGGTTTTGGGGCCTATAATACTATAGCTATATAAGGAGCCCCCCCAAAACCCTATTCTAGTTATTAAGGCCCCTATATTTTATTGAATTAGCAAAGGGCTTGACTTGAACATGGACCTCTCTCGGGGACGGTGGGCTCGAGCATCTCCTGCACTAAAAGACTAAAGGACTTCGGAGCCTATTCACTAGGAACTATTGCTTCCAGTTCTCTCGGTCATTCTTGCTGTCGTCGTTCAAGTTCTCATTCCTTGTCATTAACATGGTCTCATGATGTTCATTTCAAGTTGGATACTGATGCTGATGACGACCAATGTTACAGAGGCTTGTACTCGATACTTTCAGGGCCACAGCCAGAAAACAAGTCTTAAAGCCTACTCTTCGGAATCCTCACTTCCTGCGAATCCGAACTCGCGAGACTCTGTTTTTCAAAGCCAGTTTCCCCACTAGCAGTCTGCGACAATGATGGAACTTGAAGGCCTACCTGAAAATACTGCTCTGGGGCATAAAGTTCATTGCTGCAGGACGTACATCTGGGCATCAAGTTCCAGAACCGGTCTCTACACGGACTCAGCGCGCGGCGAAAGTCCGCCGTTTTTTGCGCGGTCCCGGCTCTGCTTTAGAAGCCTCAGGCTCTCCTAGCAGCTTGCGCACCTCTGCGGGAAAAGTGCCCTTCTTCAGCATGGTTTTGATCCTAGCATTATTGGCTCCGAAGTGTCTGCAATCGCGCTGCAACGGTTCCAAGCCCTTGAGCATTGCAGCTTCTGCAATGGCGCTGAAACTGTGGACGGTGATCATCTCGGTCAGGATGCCAGCAAGCACTGGCACGACGCCGTTTGCCAGCGATGAGCCAAGTCCAAGGCAACGAGCACTGTCGTGTAGTCCGGGTCATGGCGAGTGGAGCTCGTGTAGAGCATGTCCACTAGCAGCCGCACGCCAGAACCCAAGGAGTCCTTAACAGGAATCCGCTTAGTCGAGCCTTCCTTCATGGTGGACTCCAGCATGGCCTTCAGAACAGGCGAGGCGGCGACGAGAACGAGGTCATGAGCCGACACCTCTTCATCCGCTGTCTCAAAGACCACATTGTGCGTATGACTCATGTCCCGTATGGACTCCCACGTGTCGACGACACTTTGAGGCACTGAAAGGTTGCTCTGCAGAGGCTTATTTGTGCCTGCGGTGAGTTCTTTCACAAAGCCACGGTAAGCTTCGATTCTCGGTTGGAAGCCTTCGGCGTGTGCTGAACTGAGCAAGGCATTCAACATCGTACATGCAAATGTAGTTGCACAATGCCCCGAAACTGGTATTTCGATTCTCGAGCACTCCTTATTGCTCTTTAACCAGACAGCATACGGTCCTAGTGCGACGTTGGTCGGAGGTTTTCGTGTGGGTTGGCTCCTGCTTGAACCATCCAGTTTAGCATCTTGACCCGCTCTTCGGTCTCACTGATGCGGGCGTGGACCATCACATGAACCAATGGCAGCCGCCTAAGATGGTGCTATACGTAATGCGAGCTGATCGACGACCAAAAGTGACTGCAAAACTCCATGAGTAGAACTTCAAGTTCCGTAATTGGGCCCCAGAACAACTGCTTACTCGTGGGTCAGGACTGAGTTTGCAAAAGCTGTATCCCGAATTCACCGAGGCGCTGGGCTTTGCTCACGAAGTCAGACCAGTCATAGTCGGGTGGCGTCACGCGCTGCAAGGCTTCAAGGTCGCCCAGCTCGATCAAAGATCGAATCACATCGGCCGTACACGTTGTAGACATGAGGTCGGCGCGGCCAAGATAGCTCTGATGTGGGAGCTACGCCGATGACATAACAATAGCTAACATCAACACCACACGTGAACATAATTGCTATCAAAAGAGGAAGTGTATTAAGCGACGACAGCCAACGCCTGTGAGGGTAAGGTCAAGGACCCTGATGCCGACATTCCGCTGTCTCCCTCTGAGACTTCGATGCATGTACCTTGTTGGAAGAACCGTCTGTGGGCCAGCGGCTTTAGGCAGCAACGTAAATGTCTATGAACTACGTTGCTTCGTGCGGAAAACTGCATTGACACGACAAAACTTAAACTTAGATGTAGACATGCTCGTTAGCAGATCCATGTTTAACGCTGAGTTTAAGTCCACAGCTCGTCATAAACTCGGCCCCTGAGTAACCCTTGAATCATGCCACACACCCGAGCCTCGGCGTTACAAGCCCGAAACTCCGAAATTATGACAATGATAGGGATTGAATTTGTCGAAAACCCGATCTGCCCAATATCTGATGCAAACCTGTCCAACCTACCCGAAGCAATTGTATCTAAGACCTTGGTGCCACAGTTCGATTCCAACGTCAATGCATGAGGTCCCAGGGCCACGCTGGAATTTTCATGTGCCGCTAAGTACACGCAAACGGGTTCCCAATTCGGTCTTCCCTTCAAGTCCGCAGGGGCCATGAACAGCCATGTTGGAACATTTCCAGCACGCTTAGACGACTATTCACTAGACTATAGAGTATGTATTCACATGTCGCCAAACCCTCGTCACACCATATCACGCCACCCAATGCGGTCTGCAATGGCCCCAGACTTCAATCTCCATGGATCTCATGCAGAACCGGCCCATCCTGAACCCTAAACCCTAAACCCTAAACCCTAAACCCTAAACCCTAAACCCTAAACCCTAAACCCCCAAACCCCAAACCCTAAGATCGCCTGCGTGGGCGTTCCCAGCACGTGGAAGTCGTTGCGATAGAGCCTGGGCATGGCATGGGACATGCAGAGAGGGATCTACTCCGCCGGTATTTGCGGGTTTAGGACTTTAGGGTTAGGAGTTTAGGGTTTAGGGTTTAGGGTTTTGCAGTTTAGGGTTTAGGGTTTGTAGGAGTCTTTGCAGTCTCCTTCCTGCATACTTCCTGTGCGCACTCACTGTACAATGATGCCAACCGCAACCCGGTCTGTCGGACGACTCCTGCATGGCGTTTGCTTTACGAGGATACTTTCCCAAAAAAACACAACCAGAAAACAACAACAACAACAACAACAAATGAAATACATGACTTTTAGAAACCAAAGCCAACATACAGAGTTCAAATCTGATGGGAACGTTCAGACCAAGCGCCCAGAACAAAACACCCGAAATGCAAAGGAAATCCTATAGGCTATGGTCCAGTTGTGCCGGTGGAGATCCCCAAACAGTGAAAAACACACCGGAAGCATCCCACTCTGACCAGGGCATCACGACCACTGTTACAGGCGAACAGGCCTGAGCCTGAAGCTCTTGGGGACAACACAGGAGTTTAGGGTCTATAGGGTTTAGGGCTAAAGGTTAGGGTTAGTCGCAACAAACTGCCAGCTCAGCCCGGCACTTAATGCCCTTGAAAGGGGCTCCTCGGCTGATCATGGCCTCAGTGACAGCTCTGAGTCTCATAAGTGGCTCTGACTTTCGAGTCTTGCTACAGGGTATTGTAGGATTGTCTCAAGCTTTACAGGGGTGTTCCCAGTTTTGACAATGATTTGTAGGAATTCTCGGCTGTTGCTGTCGGCTAACTCGGCCTGAGGAATCGGGGCTTTGGCCGTATAGAATCCTTACATTACAGAGCCGGTATAGAACCCTTGCCCTGAGGCTCCAAAGGTACTCGTAT